TGCGCAATGTGGCATCACACAAGGCATTGCATATCCCTAGAAAAGAATCCAATTTTCCACCTATGCAGCATTCACTGTACATATTGGAGCCACTAGATTACTGGGAGTATTGTTAAATATACAGCTCTCCGTCTGCATCAACATTTTTCTTTACAGATAGCATAAGCACATATGTTTCTATTAGTAATTAAGTCCAAAATGGGTAGGAATTAATTCTGCTATAGCAGAATCCATACAATGGGTTCTGCTGTAGCACCAAGGGTACCTCTAGCTCGCTACAATTTTGGACACATGGAGCAATTTCACTAGTAGCCACTAGTATCACAATATATCAATTTTAGTTTAAAGAAACAGACTATAGCAAGAGAATACTACAAGTTCAGCTTACCTATTCCTTGTAGGTTTAAGGATACTATAACTGTCCTATTCTGAAAAATAACGTTTGGCTTAACCTTTAATGAAGATTAACTAGTTCAGAAAAGAAATTAGGACCCCTCTTCTTTAACCTCATACAGATATCCCATAATGCATCCCAATCATACACTTTTGTTCTAGTTTTCCTTTTCTCCATAGCAGATGTCAACCAATTTCAGTCACCTAGCTCAACAAGGCTTCCTAAAGTAAATGCAAGTGAAAGCTCCAGGAGAAATCAAATTAAAAGTTTTCCATTTCTAGTGGCTGTTGCGCCTGAGATTTCCTATCATATCATAACTAAATCACCTAAATCACACCTATCACTGGAACTTCCACTGTTTTTATCAAGGCGAGGATTCTGGAAGGGGGGGGGATACATCACTTCCACCAGCAGAAATGCGCCATTCGGATTGTTTTGATTTTCAACTCTCCAAATTCTCCCAAGATTCCCCAAAGAGAATTCCAGGAGCTCACCCACACTTACAGACACCTGCTGGATAGCTCAGTTGTTTAAGTACCTGGCTGAAGAGCCAGAGGTTGGGAGTTTGATTCCCCACTGGGCCTCCTTGAGTGAAGCAGGACTCAAATGATCTGTAGGCTCCCTTACAGCTCTGCAGTTCTAAGATTATGATTTCACTCACCTGTAAAAGGGTCTTGCTTTAGAGGCTGCATGGCCTAGCTCTAGCCTATTTCTTTTTGTAAAAGAGACCTTTTGTAAATGTACACCACAGGAAGCTGTTACATTGCTTTCTGAAAGCTATAGTCTCATTGCTCTTTAGACTCTACAGAGGCCACCTCCCCCCAAAAACTATGATGTCTTGTAAGAAGCACCACAACATATTATTTTTATATATATTTACAACAGAAAATAGGCCAGAGCTAGACCATGTAGGCTGCAAGACAAGACCCTTCTTCAACTGAGTTAATGGTACAACACCATCCACCAGACTCCAGCACAAGTAAAGACAGAAGAAATGCACACATCAACTGAATAACCCGGGTATTTTGGTCTGCACTGGGAAGAATTTGCTTCTACTGCCAGGTAAAGCACCAAACCCTAGTCAACCTTCCAGAATCAAGTTTCTGGAGAAAGAGCTGACTGTTCCTTGCAAGGGAAAAAATATATTCTTTCAGAAAGCAAGACTCAACTGTATCCTCAAAAACTTAAAACTAATGCTACCAGCTCAAATGATGCACTGAATGCACTGCCTCCTTGTCAGTGCAAGGCAAAGTAATGAACTATCCAAATCCATTGAGTCAACTTCATGTATGCTGTACTCTAATGAAAGTGATGCTGTTCCTTTTCACAATTTCAAAACAAGAAGAGGATACAAAATGCAGGGCACTACCAAATACTAAATGTATCAGTGTATGGTCAAAAGACAGTGAAAGAAAGACTGAACTGTTTGTGTGCTGGAAATATACTTGTGAGAGTGCAGATTAAAAGAAATGTGTTCCTTCATACATATGGCAGAAGTAAATGTATGACTACATGTGCGTTCCTGGGTACAACTCACTGTAACTTAACATTGGTTATATTGCCTCTATAGAAATTTGCCCACACTACTAAATAATAATATCTAGGCGTTCATATTCAGTGTTTCATAAGAAAATGGACATCTGCAAGAAAAACCTCAACAATTTAAATGAATTTCCATGGATGTTAAAAAAAATAATACCCTTCTTATCCTCAAATTGACACATGTGTCATATGAGCAACAAAAATAGGACAATTTGGGCATGGCTTAGATCAGCAATCCCTTTGGCTAGGACAAGAACTAGAGTAAAGCAGTTATCTCAGGAACTATAGGGGAGAGACCCTTGGGCTATATTAAACTATGTTCATCTTCAAGGGAAATGGGCATTGCTGGTAGAACAAATTTTCTCTCCTTACTGCAGCCCTTCATATCTGTTCTGAGGTACCGGATCCTCTGGAGTGGATTTGTGGGGAAGAAGGAGAAGCAATATCTTGCACCATGACTGAATGTTCACTTATGCAACTTTGAATACCACTTATTAAAAATAAGAGGAATGGAACGACGATACTCCGTTAATGGCCTATGAATCAAAGTATGTTCCCTTTTCACTTTGGTTTAAGATAGGAGTTTTTATATGAACTGCTGGAGATGGAATTTCTGTCTGTTCCCATGACTGATCTAGTGTCAATCAGCCAGGAATTACCTACTAAACCTCCAATAGAGCCCATTTTCATTACTTAGTAGTACAGGACCAACCTTGGTACTTACACTTAGCAGAGTCAAGCTGTTCTAAGGTGGAAACAAATCCATCTCCTACCACCATCACTGCTATCTCAATTTGATTAACTGGTGAACTCTTGTGGATGGGAAAGTGGATTCACTGCTTGAATGAAGAGAGCACAGCATATCTTACTAGCCAGAGAGGCAAATTAAACTTCATCCTCTTCTGCATTTTTGCTTATGGGATTGTATAGCGTAAATGGTCATAGGTTGTTTTACTAGATGATGCCTGGCTAGACAGACATAATCATATGCTTTCCTCAATAATTTTAGTCTAAATGAAAATAACTAATGGATATAAACAATAGGAGAATGAAAAAAAATCCAGTCTTATCATAATAAGTATATAAAATAGAGGTGAGTATTAAATAGTGGGTTTATTCTCTTCTGAATATAACACAATTACGTCCAGCTTCCACATGGTAAATAATACATAATAGGGAGTTGAGGGGGAATGTGTTGTCTGTCCTTTATAGTTTATGGACAGAACTTACATCTTTAACATATTATGCAAACAAATATGCTATACATATAAAACTATGTAGCACACAAATTGTAATTTAGAAAGTAGTCCTGGCATTACCAAAGCTTTAATTATCTAACCGGTTCTGCACTTGATAATCTGAGGAATAATAGACACTGCCACATTCTTCAGGGGTTGCTTTGTCAGATAAATCAATACTGTATCTTTTTGTTGGCACTGTTACAAGCAACAAGCTATTCAATACAGGTTTCACAAATGTAAAGAATAACAATATTCACAATTAAATTAGTTTCCTTTATACAAAAATCAATCAAGTTAATGAGAATTTGGTTAGGAAACATTCAGATTTCCTCCAAAATCACACTGAACATATGAGGTTTTAAGACCTTTTACTCCATTAATAACCATGCAAGTCAATCATGAGTCTGTTTACTCAGACGTTAAGTCCCATTTACCTGAGTTAAGTGAACATTACACCCACGACTGCAGTATAAATAAAATACTAAATCAATGACCATTATTAGTTGAGAGATGATTTTGTGTCATGTTAAAAGAAGAATTGAAGGATTAGGCAGAAAGTAAATGGACATTAAAAAACTGTCCCACGAGTGTTAGAAATACTACGTTGAGTCCAGAAAAAACAAACAATTGCCATATGCTCCTAGTACAAGACTGTATATCTAGCAACCAAAAATGATTAAACATACAGGTATTTTAAATTCAAAGGATTCATAGGTTATTATGATTAACCTGACTTCACTTTTAGCACTCCAGAGAAAGTAAAAAGCCACAAGAAAAGAAAGCCAGCATATCCTTCAAAACTGTGATAATTAATATGATTTCTGACTACATTTCCATCCTCTCTTTCCTCAACCTCTGTTTAATGAAAAACTGATAAAGTGAAGTAAAATGTATTAATGAGAATATCTGGGGGAATATTGGAGTGGCTGCTGACAAAATGCAGCTTATTCCAATCATAGTCTCAATCAAGGTGGATCTTCTACAGATCTTAATATTGATGAAATAACAACACTATAAAAATGGAATTAGAAGATTTCTCTTACAGGCCTGCAAATAAACACAGCACTGTGATACGGTGTTTAAGAACAACAGAATGATTTGCAGCACAAAGACAACTGCTTGTGTATGAGTGAGCAAGTTATTGACAATAAGTACGAAACAACCTGTTTATAATAAGTATAGAAGAGGTTAAAGAGCCAGCATGGAGAAGATGATCAGAAGGAAAAAGTTCACAAGTGCCTGAGTCTCCAAATCCACACAATCTCAGCGGGAGTCCAAGGCCCACACACAAGTTCCAAGAGGGAGAACACAAACCTAGGGTCACATATAACCAGACTTCGGTTTGCCGAATTTTAAGTAAAAAGCAGAGAAATAAAAACAGCGTGGATTGCCACCTTATCTCCCCTTCTTCCAGTAGCTCCCTATAAATGAGAATAGGATGCAGATTAAAACAAACAAACAAAAAAGCCCAAAGCACCCCAGATACAATTATCTTGTGAAACCACAGGTGCACTTTCCTCCACCAATCCTCTTCTTCCATCCTCCGCACCACCAGTACAAATAATACTCCCATCCCCATCCCAACTCCATTAAATTACTACAACCATCAAGAGAGGAATTGGGGGGGGGAGGTTATAGAAAGAGACCACAAAACAGGCCGGGAGTGGAATCACTTTCTCACCAACCTATACACATGTTACAGCCTTCCCCACTTCCCACCTTTAGCTACTGAGCCCAATGGAGTAGCTCCAGGCCGGTACTCGATGGGGGGAGGGAGAACCCCGGAGGGGAGGGGAAAGAAGGCACACAACAATCATATTCACCTGGGTTGTGGAGGGCTGTGGTAGTAGTGATGGTCGTGGTGTTGCTCTTGCTGGTGGAGGCTGTTGTTGTTGTTGTTGTGGGTGATGGTGAGGATGGGGGTGAGGAGGAGCAGCAGCAGGAGGAGGAGGTGGTGGTGGAGGAGAGAAGCCGTTGTTGTTGATGGGTAACAGTCGCCAGGACTACGGTGACTATGGCGCTTGATTCACAAGGCAACGGTTGCTATAACTCACAAAAGGGAGAGAGCGAACAGGCAAGCGAGAGGAGGTGGAGAGGAGGCGGCGGCCCAGCCTCACAGGCCCGGAAGAGGCGGGGCTTCCAAAATGATTGACAACCGCTCCCCAATACACATACATACACACACACAGATCGAGCGAGCGAGCGAGCCTACAGACTCTCTCGCACCCTACTCCCGGGTGGGGGTGGAGAGGGAGAGAACTATTCTTTGGAATATCTGCGCGCCTGCGTGTAAGACTTCGCGCGTTTGTTCCTGAGTAACCGTTGAGCCGCATGACGGTTGACCACAGCGGTGGTTCCTCTCAGCCCAGCCACCACTCCAGCACGCGCGGTACCTCAACCGCCCCGGTGGGGACGCAGGGGGCGGGGCTATAATTCCTTGTTCCCGCGTGGGGGGAAAACTTGGCAGCGGTTCTCTTGTCATTTCCGGTGAGGGGAGAAAAGCAAAGACGGGAGATGAATGTCCCGGATGTGAAGAGCTGCTGAGGAGGAAGGTGTATGGAGCCCCCTTACTCCGCTGCCGGTGTTTCGGTCCCTGCTTTTCCCTTTCCCAGCCGCTTGGAAACTACCTCCATATTCAATTTGTCCCGCTCTTATTTCCACGCTTTCGACCCGGGGCGGGAAGGGAAGGGGTGTTAAAATGGCAGGGGTTAGGTTGTCGCCGCCGCCATCTTATGTGGGGGAAGTGCCGTGGGCAAAAAAAAAAAAGCTGGCCGCCCGTTTGGGTGACCAGAACGTCGCCTGCTTTCCTTCTGTGCTGTTTTGGAAACGCTGGCGAGGCAAAAACCTAAAGCCACCTTTAGTGATGGGCGAGGAGGAAGCAGGGGCGGCCCTAGGTTAAAAGAAACCTGCAGCAACATGTTGGTGATGTTCCATGCTTGCCCTTCTTTCCGTCCCCGCTCTCCAAGTCAACACTATTCTGTAAGCGTATGCAAGCAGAGGAAGGGACAACCTCGCCTTTTATAAAGCCGGTTACTAGTCTTCTCCAGGTGTGTATCCCGGCAGTGGGGATGGGATGGTGGAAGCTAGTCTGCCGCCTCCCCATCTTGTGGCTTGAAAGGATTGTAGAGGTTTCACTTCCTCAAGCAGGGGATCAAGTGTAGTGTGTTAAAAGGTTCTGGGTAAAAGGCAGACGAAATAAATGGATCCTCATGGTTTCATATGATTTTTACTGGATCCTTTTCACACACCCATCAAACTAGATCTCTGCCCACAGACTACAAAACTATTCAAGGATCCCTTGGCATATGGCTTTGCAGTGGCACAAAAACATGGATCTTCATGGATCCACGTGATTTTTATGTAGGATCTTCCCCAAACTACTCTCCAATAATATGCCTTATCTGTGCCGACAAATGACAACAAAAGAATCCTGGATCATTTAACTTACAGCTTCGCAGTGGGGCAAAAGCATGGATTTCAGGATTGGATCTTCATGGATCCACATGATTTTTATGTGGAACCCTCCCCAAACCACTATCAAGCTGTAGGTCCCATCCTTTGGGATCTATATGAGTTTTTGGCATGGATCACAGCTGGATCTCTTATCTCAAACAGTTCCCTAGAGATCTGTATGCTATTTACATTAGTTCAACCAAAAAACACCACAACAGCATAGAAGGAATCAGTATGCACTGACTAACTAAACCATAGAAATCATAAATGCAAGAGTAGGTGATGCCTTTTATTGGACCACTAAAAATAAAACAAATAGCAATTTGTGTAATCTTTGGGACTACACTGGCCCTTTGCTTTTCTGTTACGGAAATCATAACTGCTCACAGGATATAGAAATATGTGTTTGACATATGAATAATTGATCCACAAGATTTTGGCGTGGTGTCCACACTAAACCATTGTCAAATCATAGATCAGTTTTATGCCCAGAGAGTGACACATATGTCACTCATTTGCGTGGTGAAAGCAAGAAATGAAGACATGGATCTGAGATACAGGATCGTCTTAGCCCCTTTTGGTTGTATAGGCATCCTTCAGCCTCGAGAGACTATGGTAACATGCTCTGAATAGAGGTCTTGGAACAGTGTCCACTGTGGCTGAGAAGGCAAATCCAAGAGCGACAATGCCTTCCACACTGAAGACAAATGCAATCTGTCCCCTGTCCAACTCCCTGATTTTGCTGGGTTATGGACTGCCTCTTTGCCTTGGCTTGCTGAGCAAGGGCCTCTTTAAATTGAGAGAGGCCATGCTGCACCGCTTTCCTCCAGGCTGAACACTCAGATGTCAAGGTTTCCCATCTGTTGAGGTCCCTTCCTAAGGCCTTCAGATCCCGCTTGCAGATGTCCTTGTATCACAGCTGTGGTCTCCCTCTGGGATGTTTTCCCTGCACTAATTCTCCATACAAGAGATCTTTTGGAATCCGACTGTCAGCCATTCTCACGACATGCGCAAGCCAACGTAGATGTTATGGTTGTATTTCCACCTCACTATCATAAAAACCATGCTAATGCACTGCATCAGAAAAGTCAAGAATCTCTCTTTTGGGCTACCATCTTTGTAAAAAACAACACAAATTTGAATCACGGAGCCATGCAGTTTTTCAACGGGATCTGCCCCAAACTACCATGAAATTATATACTTTATGCATTGAAGGAACTGTCCAGTGTACAGATAATCCAGTGCACAGCCATGTCATAATGCAAAAAACATTCACCCAGGGCCTTAATCTTCATGGATCCATTAGACTTTTAGTTAGTTATATGCCTTCAAGTTGAAACTGACTTATAGCAACCTTAACAGCGCTTTCAAAGTACAGTAAGTGATATATTTAAGGAGTGGATTTTAGCAGTTCCACCCCCCCGTGAGTTTCCATGGCCAAGTGGGGATTCAAACCCTAGTCTCCAGGGCCCTAGTCTATCCACTGAACCACACTGGGTACCATAAGATTTTTATCTCTGTCAAATTACAGGTCCCATCTGTGGTCATTGACTAAACTGTAGGGTTCACAGACACCTGCATGATGCCACAATGGCACAGGAACATGCATCCAAGTGACAATTTCTAATTGATTAATTTGGTATGGCAAATGCTGTCACATTGCAGATCCCCTCTGGAAATATAGCCAGAACCATAAAATCCCATCCTCTTGAATGCATAGCCTCATCATGATAAACGAACCAAGCTTTCTGTTGTTCATACCACAAAAGGCAGTGGGGACCAGAGATGGACACAAATCCAGATAATCGGATTGTGCTGGATCATTGTACAGTACTGGCACCACAGGTGCCACATGGTCTAATCCCCCGCCCCCCCGGGCACATTCCCCCACTGCCCAGACAGCTCGTGCTCCACTCTTCGTCTGGTCATTTCACCAGTTGCAGCAGGAGCATGGACTTCCCTTCTCCATCTCCTCCAGCAGCTGCCCACTCAAAGACGGCCCTGCAGCAATCCCTGCCCTGCCTCCTTGTCTGATTGAGCAGTTGTTTCTAGTCATCCTGCTGCCTTGCAGCTACAGTTATGCTTCAGTCCATCAACACAAATGGGATCAATGGTGTCTGAAGAATCTGATATTAAAATCCCTGGATCCTTGAGAATACATGCCTTGGATTCATGTTGTAATGCCATGGCAATAACACAGGAAAAGATTCACAAACTTTTTGGTTTCTTCTGGTTCCTCTGTTGGCACTGAAAGCATTTACAATTTCACAGTGGTTTCATATAATTGTCATGTAAACATTTTGAAGACCTGTGAAGATCCACTTATTCAGATACATGTTTTCACACATGAGAATTCCATCTAGCAAGGTGTTAGTTATTATGGTTTGGTCTGTAGGCATAGATGGGGTCTATGGTATTCAAGCAATGTTGATGCATATTCTCTTGCCCAAAAAGCCTACAAGTCGTTAAGGATCTGTGCCTCACATCTGTGCTCTTAACCACAGTAGAAAATGTGTAGCAAGGAATCTGTGATTGTGATGGTTTAGTCCAAGGCCTTCATGGATCTGTGATTTAACAGCAGTTTTTTTTTCAGCAGTTGAATGGATTCTGTATAAAAATTACTTGGATCCATTAGAATATAGGTCTGATATCTTTATTTTTGCTGTACTGTGCTCCAGTGCAGCAAATGACTTGTGAATTTAAAGGAACATTCTGTAAGTATGGATGAATTTCCAGCTTACTGGTGACTTGAGGAAAAACTATGGTTCATTGAGAAGACTTTTATAAAAAGTGTATGGATCCTAGTATGTGCAAGATCCCTGTTTTGCTCAATAGTATCTCCATGCAGTATGGGGTAAACATTTTATGTGGCTATATATGTGCTCATATGGTCCAGGAGAATCTGTGGCGCAGATTCCTCTTTTTGCATCATGAAGATAATGTGTAGCAAGTGACCTGTGGGATTCTCAAGTCATAAATGTCATCTCTTTATCAAGTCATAAATGTCATCTCCGCCAATAGACTGAATCATTAAACATTACAATTTTGCCAAATGACCCACTATGGCACCTGAACATGGATCCAGGGCACAGATCCATGTGGCCAATATGTTATTTACGTTACACAGTACTGGCACTCACCCACCATAATGTTAAACATCCCCACCCATATTTATTTATTTTATTTATTCAATTTATATGCCGCCCACACTACCCAGAGGTCTCTGGCCAGCATATGCACCAGTGGAAGCATAAAAATTGCATGTTCACTGCTAAATGACACCACCATGGCAGAGGGACATGGATCTTTGGCCGGATCTTCCCCAAACCAGTGTAAATTCATGGATTTCATGTGTGCCTACAGAATCTACTGCAAAATGTTTAATCCCACGCTATACTGCCTTGCAATGGCTCCAAAACATGGATCAGTCACAGATCATCATTGATACATGTGGTTTTATTTGGTACCCACTTCAAACTGTATACACATCATAACCTTCATTGCTGCACATAGAGAACTTACAAACATCATTGATCCCTTGTGATATGCTATCACCATGATCTAAATGCAGGGATCCATGAGATTTTTCCATGGAGTCCTCCCCAAAACACCTTCAGATCAGAGATCCTATCTTTGTCTACAGACTGAGCCATAACAATCATGTTTTTCTGGTAATACACTGCTTTGTTGCGATGACATGCTTCCCAAGCATGAATCCTCATGGATCCATTGGATTTTTACAAGGATTCCACACAAAACCACAAGTAAATCATGCATCTAGTCCATTACCACAGAGTTAATTTTAAAAAACAATGGATCCTTCATTGCACTGGACTGTCATAGTGCAAAAACTTGCATTTAGAGCACAAATCCTCATAGATCCATGTGCTTGCTAATTGGCACTGATAGTACACTGCAACAAAAAACATAGATACCATATAAAGATAATAATCTTAGAACTGCAGAGCTGAAAGGGACCCAATGGATCATTGAGTCCAGCCCATCAAGGAGGCACAGTGGAGAATCAACTCCCAACCTCCAGTTCTGCTGCCAGACACCTAAACCACTGAGCTATCCAGCAGTTCAGTGTCTACAGATTGAAGCCTAAAATCCTGAATCTCTACCTAAGCCCTCTGCAAAATCAGCGTCCCTATCTGTGCCTTCCAGTCTGAACATAAAAATCAGGGCTGCAGGAGACTGATATGGCAAAAGAGCATGGACCTAAGCCTGGATCCTCATGAATACATGTTATTTACTTATACATAGGAACCATTAAATTCCTCTCTTCTAATTAGTGCCACCAAAATGACCGACCAAAAAGCGGGGGCAAGGATTCCTTGTTGTAGGAGAACATGAACCTTAAGGGCATGGAACCTCTTGGAGTCATGTGATTTTCACATGAGTAAAACTCTCAAATGTTTGGTCATATTTGTGCCCAAATACTAATCACAGAACCATTCACTACAGCTTCTCTACTACAACCCTACTTCCCCTTCCCAGCCTTCATTTGTACCTTTGTACCTTCC